ACCGTCGGATCAAAATTTCACCTATCAACCGGAAATCGCCAAAATACTAACTTCGCCAAAATGAGCTAATTTCTTCACCGGACCTCCAAAATTAATTTCGATTGCGCTCCTAGGCCTTAAATCATCCCCCGAAACTAACCGAATCATCGGAATTCAATTCCGAGCCCTCTAACTCACAAGTCAACGTTCGGTTGACTTTTCTAAACTAATTCTTCCTTAATGAGACTAATTGTCCCATTTCATACCAAACTCAATCCGAATTGACTCAAATTCACCAAGTACACATATTGAAACATGAATAAGCATTTAACGGGGAATACGAGACGAAAATACAGGAAACAACGGTTCGGGTCGTTACATACACAAATGGTCAGCTAACTGAAAGATAGTCTTTTTTTTCTTTCTCACAAGCAAAATACATAAAATACAAATTGTCCTTTTTTTTAATCTATAAAAAGTTATTTCCAATATATTGAAGAATAAAGCATTATTGCAAAATAAAGTCTAACTGTTACATCTTGATTAGTTTACTCTTTTTACATTTTGAGGAGAATATTCTTTCTCCGTCGATACACACAACCATGCATCTGAATATTGTTTTTTATGAAGGCAAGAGTCTATGATTGTTAATATTATCCGAGAAACAGTGAAAATATGAAAAACATGTTAATATCATATTACAATATAAATGTTTAAGTTTTCGTGTGTGTCTATATACAATTAATTATTATTTAAATTTGGACTTTTTAAAAATAAGCTTAGTTCGATGCAAAAAAATATTTTAAGTGTTTATATTTTCTATAGATATTTTAAAGAGAAATATATTACAAAAATACTCTGCCTATCTCTTTTTTATTTTTTCTTTCATATTATATTTCTTTTACTATTTTATTTTCACTTAAAATAGCAAGTGCTTTAATATTATTTAGATTTCTGCACTAAAATATAATATAATAGCTTGCTAATCAATTCACTTTTAAACTATTTTTAAATTTTTATTACGGTTTCTTTACTTGAGGATCACTCATATATTCTAAATTTCAGTCATTTATAAGCTTGTTCGTAAAACTATACATTCAGTTCCTTTCTTCGTAATAACTTAACTTTATCTTTTAATAAAGTACATTTGTAGAATAATAAACAAATATAGTTACATAAACTCTCTTGCAGGAAGAATTGCTTAATAAAGATATGCTACATACTATTTATTAAGGTGTTTTATCATGCCTTTACCCTTAATAAACAATGCAAGTTGAGCATATCTTTCTAAAGTTTGTAACTTTTTCATATTGCCTTTTTATAGTTTGTAAATTTTCATTCGTAAATATATTTAATACAAAACAATAATTTTGATCTTTAACAAATGCATGAAAAAAAATACCCCACATAAATTATTATAGTTTCTCTTTTTTAATCTCTAATATAAATCAAGGAAATAAACTAAACCAAAAACTTAATATTATGGTAATAGATACTAAACAAAATCAATATATATGTAAGGTACAAGAAAATAAGAGTTTTATACGGAGGGCATTAACTTACCGATCGAAGAAAAATATTTGATGTGTGATGGACTCCTCCATTTATTTGCTTTTTTATCTCCATATTTTAAGAGAAGGAACCAAAAGATCAAGGAGTGAAAAAGAAGAAAAGGAAAATCTAAATTAAAGATATTACTGCACACATATGCTTGTTGACTTAGCTTTCTTCAAAAAATTATTCATCCTAATTTTGGATCTCTATACCATTTGTCATATTGTATGGAAGCAATATGATTTTCAAAACTTCTAAGCCTCAAAGAATACCACAATCTCATAGGACCATTATTTGTTTGGTTAGAATAATACACAGACTTGCAAATGAATTTAGCCTTCATCATTGGTTTTTAGCCGCATGTTTGTACCTTTCAAAAACTTTAAAAAATATAAAATCTGGAAATTAAGAAGGTGAAGTGGCACGTCCTCTCTTCGGCCATATACCACAGTTATCCTTTTCTCAAATTTTCAGCCTTTTTTCCATTTTTTTCCTTTGTTTCATTTTTAAAAAGCCACAGTCATTTCTTAAATGACGCCTGTTTTGGAAGGAAAAGGCGCCTTTTCGGATGAGGGGTTTTAAAAAAAAATTATAAGTAAGAATATTTAGAATATTTAAATAATTTAACTTTTTAACTAAGGGCTTCCCACTTTTATAATAATATAGATAGATATAACCATTCGAACACAACCCTTTCTAGCTTTCTCTCAAAGGCACGTAACTTTTGAGAGTCATGTAATTAAAGGAAACATAGAAGCAAATTAAGAACCAGATCCTAAGAAAAATTTAAAAAGAAAGACAGAAATAACAATATAGTTACTAATAACAAACTAAAGAAAATAGGGAAATTTATGCGATATACCTATGAGAATCAAATTAATTACCCGCATTGTACCCATTTGAAAATTATTTCAATTTCTACCCATTTTGTTCAAAATAATTATCCGGCCTACACTCGCTAAGTCGCTATAAACGACAGCTATAGACGTTTTTTCATCAATTCGAATGGCTTTTCCTTCCTAATTTTAACTTTTAAACACCCCAATCCTAATGTGCTTCTTTTTGGACTCCCAACTAGTAATCAGGTGCACACGTTTTTCGACAACCATACTTATATGAATTCGTTCTTTGGAGGTCCTTGATGTCACCAGCCTTGCTCTTTTCACGTTTGATATACCAAAGACTAATTGTTATATCAGTGATAAATGATGAAAAAGGCATATTTTTGAGTATGTTTGTATATTATTTTTTATGTGAATTGCGAAAAGTTACATAGTTTTTGAAGTGAAATATGCTCACTACGATAATATCTTGAAATACTTTCTTATATTAATATGTGGTATACTATTTTTTGATTTTTCTCTTTATGCATGTGTATTATGTAATAGTAGTATAGTCATATATAGTTGCCTGAAATTATTTAGTAGAATTGTATACCCTATTGGTATAATTATATGTCATATTGATATCATATGGTAGTTAAAATATTTTTTTGGTTAATTTAGCTACATTTTTAAGTGAATTCTATAATGAAATTACTTATATGATCATGTTTTGCTGTGTTGGATTTTTTTTTACCTATGGATATATATTTTGTATATTATGTAATAGTTTTTATAGGTATATGCAGTTGTTGGAACGAACCCGTACAACTATATACCCTATTAGTATAGTTATATACTATATTGATATCATATGCTAGTTGAATCATTTTTTGGTTGTATTACCTGTATTTAATTGGTACACTATTTGATTTTCTTTTAATAATAGTATATAATACAATATCTTGAAAACTTTATTATATTAATATGTGGTACACTTTATTTTTTTTCTTTATGCATGCGTATTATGTAATAGTAGTATAGTTATATAGTTGCCGGAAATTAACCAGTAAAGTTGTACACCATGTTGGTATAGTTATATGCCATATTGGTATCATATTGTAGTTTAAATATTTTTTTTGGTTGTTTTAGCTGCATTTTTAAGTGATTACTATTCTGAAATTATTTATATGAACATGATTTGTAGTGCTGGAATTTTTTTGTGCCGATGGATATAGATTACGTGTATTATGTTATAGTTTCTATAGTTATAGGCAATTGTTGGAATAACTTCATACAACTATATACCCTGTTAGTATACGGAATGAGCAAGTTGCTTTGTGAATATTTAGCTTGCAATGCCAGCATGTAATTTTCTCATACTTTTATTGCATCCTTTAATGTTTTGGTACAGTAGTATAATCGCAGATAATTGTAGCAATATTCTAAAGCAATCATGTATACCATATTGGTATACGTGTATACCATATTGGTATCATATGGTACTAGAAGTCTTTTTTGTTACTTATACTTTTATTGCATTTTTTAATATTTTATTATCATTTTTACTGATATTTAGTGAATTAGATCAAGTGACAACTCATATTATTTCAGTTTAATAATTGAATATCTAAAAAAGAAAAAAAGAAGACAAAAGGTATATTATACTAGTTATATTTAAAAAAAAGGTGAAGAAATATTTACTATATAGTTATTTTTTCTTATTATATAAAAAAAATAAAAAATAGTGAAAACAGTAAATGAAATTAGATTACGAAGAGAAAAAGAATATGAAAAAAAGAAGTTAAATGAAATTAGAGAAGGAAAAAAGAAAATAAATAAGAAGAAAACGAGAAAAAAGAAAAGGAGAAAAGAAAGAAAAAAAGGGAAAAAAGAAAAGAAGCATAGAAATAAAAAAAATTGAAAAAAAAAAGAGAAAATTCCCCACAAAAACTACAATGAGTAAAAAATGTAATTAGTTTGATGGATAGACACGGATAAATAATTTTGTTTTTGAGGGTAACTGTGTCATTCTCCCGAGAAAATATAGGAATGAAGTAGCTTCTCATCATTTGTCCTAAGATTAAAGCTGAAACCAGGGAAAACGTATCACAATTCCAAACAGTATAATCTGTCACTGAAACAACAATGCCAAACTATGAAAAATCATCTAATGAAAGAACTTGACACATCATTTTGCACTATAGTGATCTCATAACATTAATAATTCATTTCTCTAGCAAAAAGTGATGGCAGCCATTGACATCTATGCCATACAACTTGCAAGAAAAATATACACATGAAAAGGAAAAAAGAAAAACAAAACACGAAAACAGCAGTTTCACCAACAACGGTGTCATGTTCATCAACACTCATGTCTTTGGGATCGAAATTTGAGAATGGAAAACGTTTCGGTAGAAAGCATTTTACCTTCTTTGTGGACTTATCTGTCACAAATCTAGATTAATCCGACCAGAATGAGCTTAAGATCTTCGCACCAGTAGGCGACTAAGACGATAAATCGCATTCTACCAAACATTAGTCCTACCTAGCACAAATTTAGATCATGTGGGCTGTCTATATTGAATGGTTAAACCAGAAAAAGAGAAAGACGACAACATTCATTGAATCAAGATTAGATGATCACTATGCAGAAGTGTCTGCTTTTTCTTTCTCAATTTCTATGCCCTTAACACCATCTTCCAATAATAAATCATCCTCTTCATCATCAGAAGGTTCTGCAAGAAATGAACCATTTCGTTGTAGCTCTTTGATTCTCTTATATTCATCATAGTGCCCTCTCCTATGCTCTATGAAACTCCTTTTCCTTTCTGATTCCTCATCATCATCGTCGTCGTCGTCGTCATCATTATGATCCATGACATGATATTCATGATCATCCTTATAATTAGGAGATTTACTACTTTTACTTGAACATGATGCCATCTCATCATCCACATCGCTACCATTGCCATCCTCATCAAAATTGTTCTCATCATCAATCTTGACATGATGAAATGGTGTCTTTGGCTCAGTTATCTTCATTCTCTCGGGTTTGTTTGCCTCTATTTCCTCCAATTTTGCCTCGTCCCATTTTACGCCCTTCATTTCAACAATACTATAGAATATCTTCGAGCAAATGGATCTTAATAAAACGAAATGACTATAAATGCTTCGTGTAGCTGATCTCAACTAATTTGAAAATATTCCTAATTGATTCTCAATGCAGTTCTACCTATGAAACATATATCACGAGGCGCTTGCCGGAGAAAAACATGGACAAGAACGAGTTAAATTTGTTTTATTAAGATTAGAGGAATGGGAGAAATGTTCAAAACAAGTTGAATCTTCATGTAGTAAAAAAATTTATCATTTTATTTGTTTGGACATGAACATGACACGTTTTGATAGTTTCTAGGAGTAAATATAATTGAATACACCACGCGATTGGAAAGAGTAATTTAGTCAGATACCTTTTATAATTAATGTTAATAAATAATTCTTTAAACGGATGTATCAAAAGCTTAAACAAGATAATTAAGAAGGACGAGAGGAAATAACATACTTACAATTAACCTTATGGAAAGACCTAAATATCAAACAAAAGTAAAATATAATTTCTTTTTCTTTTCCAATAAATGGTATTTTTCTTGTTTTTTCTTATAGTAAAAGCTAATAAAAGTGAAAAAAAATTTAAAAACACATATTTGAACTTCAGAATATTGATTAATGTTATTCTCCTCCCCTTGGATTTTGATTAGGTGTTCTTAATTTGCAAAGTTACTGTTGTTTAAGGAAGAATTGTTTGAATAGTTTCAATTTCTTGTTATTATTTGCTATTTTGATATATTTTGTTGGAGCATAATTTTAAACAGGGTTTAAATGAATGTAGGCTATTTCATTCATTGCCTTAAGGTTTTGGGTTCGACAAATTATTTTACATGATGTTAAAGCCAACATTTGACAAGTCTGTTCACAATCGTCTATTGTTGGGCTTCTTCTTTTCAATTCAGCCCATCGAGCCACAAATTTATTCAAGAATCGAGTTACACTAGCGGGAGGGTGTTAGAGCACTTCCATAATCGATTCTGCAAGAATTTCTAAAAGGGGTTATTTGATAAAGGGAGAACATAACTGCTACTCCTTCTGTTCCAGTTTATGTGAACCTATTTTTTTTTTGGTCCGTTCAAAAAAGAATGACCTCTTTCTAAATTTGGAAACAATTTGGCTTAAACTTACATTTTTATCCTTACTGAGAAGCTTTTATAACCACACAAATACTTTGGGCCCCTTTTTCACTTGTTTAAGACCACAAATTCTAAAAGTCTTTATTTGTTCTTAAACTCCGTGCCCAATCAAACAAGTTCACATAAATTGGAACGGAGGAAGTATAAGCTTTGACAAACTCATGTCATAGAATAACATTATCAGAAAATTTTCTTCCAGGAACAAATCCTATTGAGAGAAGAATAAGAGCTGGAGAGTGAAGGAGAGCTAAAGAGAGAGAAGGTCAGTTGTGAGAGCAACTGTCTCTCAGATATTTTCTTATTAAACTAAAAAGAAATGAACTATACGATTTATATTATTTCCTAACTCACTAACTTAACCCAATACTAACTTGTGTCTAATTAACTAACTATAGTTACAACTAATGTACTTCATTATATACACAATGTATCACTACTACTACGACTTAACCTTTCTACACCCTCCCCCTCAAGTTGGGTGCTGAAATACATTTATCATCCCCAACTTGCACTCCATATCATTGTGTAACTGCTTCCCAAGGACTTTAGTTAATATGTCTGCCACTTGGTTTTTGCTACACACATGTTCTGTCTTGATCAACCCACTTTGTATCCTTTCTCGTACAAAATGGGAGTCTATCTCTATGTGTTTAGTGCGCTCATAATACATGGGATTTGAAGTTATCTGCAATGCTGCCTTGCTGTCACAAAACAACTCCATGGGCCGTTCAATCTTCATGCCTAATTCCTGCAACAGTCCCTATAGCCAAACAAGTTCTACCACTGTAGTTGTCATACTCCTGTACTCAGCTTCAGCTAAGCTCCTTGAGAATGTACTCTATTTTTTGATTTCCAGGAGATTAGTTAATCACCCAGCTGAATACAATACCATGTCACAGACTTCCTGGACACCACATATGATGCCCAGTCTGCATCACAAAAGGCAGTGATCCTTCCAGATTTTCTGCTACTCATCAATGACCCTCAATCCTGGTTGGTCTTTTATATATCTAACCACTCTTAAAGCTGCTTCATAATGCAACTATGTTGGAGCATGCATGTATTGAATCAATGTTTGGACTACAAAAGAAATATCTGGCCTAGTGATAGCCAAATATAGCAACCTTCCCAACAGTATTTGATATGGCCTTCTATCTTCTAATTCTGGACTTGCACCTTTATTAGATTCAAACAACTTGTCATATTCAAGACTAGTGAACTTCTGATTTTGTTCTAGAGGTGTTGCAAGTGGCCTTGCTCCCCCGAGGCCACATTGTTAAAGCAACTCTAAGGCATACTTTCTTTGATTCATAAGTATACCCTTAGATGATCTTGCAAATTCAACCCCCAAAAGATATCTCAATTCTCCTAAGTCTTTCATTTTAATATTGCTATTCATAATGTCCTTAGCTTTTTCTATTAGTTTGGTGTCATTGCCAGTGATTAATAATTCATCCACATATACTAAAATGATCACAAGATTAGCATTTTGGCTTTTTGTGAACAAGAAATAGTCCAGCTTACTCTGTGTGAAATCTGATTGCATTAAAGCTGTAGTAAGTTTAAGATTCTATTGCCTGCTAGCTTGTTTCAGCCCATACAAGGATTTGAGGAACCTACACACTTTGTTCTCCCCCTGGCCACCAAATCCTTGAGGTAGAGATATATAGACCTTTTTAAATAAGTTCCCCTGGAGGAAGGCATTGTAGACATCCATTTGGTAGAGAGGCCAGCCAAACTGAGCAGCTAGAGAAAAAATACACCTAACAGTGACCATTTTGACCACTGGGGAGAAGGTATCATGATAGTCTAATCCCATTTATTGAGTGAAATCCTTGGCCACTAGTCTAGATTTATACCTTTCTACATTACCATTAACTTTATACTTCACCTTGTACACCCGTTTGCACCCAATATATGTCTTACCTACAGGTAGATCAATTACATCTCAGGTATGATTATTAGGAAAGGGCAGTAATTTCTAATTTCATAGCCTGAATCTAGCCAGGATCGTAGACAACTTTGGCAAATGAAGTAGGTTCAAAAATAGCAGAGAAGGCAGCTAGATAAACATGGTAAGAAAAGGAGACAAAGGAATAGTACAAGGAGTTTGATAAAGGGAATGAAGTAGTGGAAGAAGAGTAAACATAGTCTGTTAACCACAAAGGAGATTTGCATGTTCTAGTGGATTTTCTTAGAGGAAGGGAAGGATCAATGAAAGATACAAAAGGAGATAACAAGGTAGATGGAAGAGAAGGAGCAAATAAAGGATGAGGAATAGGAGAAGAAGTTAGGGATTCATTGGTTGAGGATGAAGGAATGACCTGATCAATAAGAGCAGGACTAGATCCTGCAGCAGGAAAGATGTCATCCATAGAGGAAGGTGAAACAAATGGCGTAGAAGGGGATGCTTGTGGTTCAAGAAAAGTGGATTTAGGATGTTTGAAGGGAAACACTAAGTCCCTACAGATGACAAACCTATTCACAAAGAAGGCGCCTGTTGCAATGTTGTACAGTTTGTACCCTTTCTGAGTTTCTGAATAACCCATAAAAACTGCTGGGATAATTTGGAAAAGAATTTATCAGAACAACTGGGCTTGGTGGCATAACACAAGTATCCAAATATCTTCAGGTAGGTGAGAGGAGGTGGTATTCCATGGAACAATTCATAGGGTGACTTCCCTGAAAGAGACGGAGAAGGTAGTCTATTATAAGGAAGGTTGCTGTGAGTACACACTCAATCCAGAACATTAATAGAGCATAGTGATGGTAGACTATAATTACGTATTTTAGTAGCTTATTGGACTCTAATTCACTGCACTTTACTAGTGTTGAGCTTTAATTGATAGTGTTTTGTACTTATTGTGTATTTTATGCCTTATAGGAGTGATTCCGAGCTATGTAGATGTTATGGAACTAAATCGAGCTATTTGGAGCCTTGAAGTCTGAGTAAAAGCCCAAGAGATTAAGCCGAGATCATTTTCGGGGGTCGAGGACCATGTCTGGACGTTAAAAAGCAAGATTTGAGTCGTACTCTAAGAAATTTGCACTAGTACGACGTAAGGTGCGAGGCATAGTATGACGCAGCAGTGTAATTTTGCTACTTGTTGAATTGTTGAGCTTCCTAAAGATCTCCACTAGCTCGTGGCATGGAGCGTCTCCCCATGCAGCGTGCCTATGTATTTTTCCTAGAGGGATTTTCCAATTTTGGCTAAGAAAGGGTGATTTCGTCTAGGCTCAACCCTACTTGGTATAAATACATAAAAAAAATATTATTTTCTATTTTATTTTCTTTATTAGTTAACTTCTTTTCAAGATTGTTTTTGTAGTTCCTAACAAGTTGGAGAAGATACTGTAGATATTGAACTCTAAATACTGTGAAGATGGAGTACAACCGGCCTAAGAAAATGGTTGAAGAGTTAGCAATTCAATATTATTAGCGGTATGCTATGTGTTTTAAATGCGGTGAAAATCATCTATGGTTTGACTGTCAAGCAGGTATGTATTCTTCCTATGATTCATATTTTGAACAGTCTTACTCTGTTTCTAGTCTGTACAGGTAAGAGAATTTATATGGGCACAATTCTGACTCTGGTTGGGATAAATACCCTTATAATGACTGAAATGAAAGCAAAGCGAGACAACCACCTCAAGAGGAGAGTGGTAGTTTAGAAGCGCTTATGCATAGGTTCATGAATAATGTTGAAGAAAGGTTTATGCAAAGTGATGAAGCCATTTAGAACCTAACAACGCAAGTGAGTCAAATAGTAAGTGTCACACCTCCTTTTTACCTACACCCCCGAGAAGTTGGCATATAAGGAGATTTTCCAATTAAAGTACAATCGAAACGGAATTATTTTA